TGTGTTGCTGCTTTTTTCTGTATAGCTCATATTTTTGGTGTCCTCTCAGTTTACACAGTAGAGGTGGTTTCAGGGGTGGAGACTGTCCTGTTACCCTGCAAAACCAGGACTAACCTGCCCGAAGATGCTAGAGTGGAGTGGATGGACAGTGACTATGAGAAGGTCCATGTTTATCAGAATGGCTTTGACCAGCTGGAAGAACAAGACCAAGATTATAAAGATCGAACACAGATGAATGAAAAACTGCTGAGAACTGGAGACCTTAGTCTGACCCTGAAATACCCCACAGACTGGGACACTGACATCTACACCTGCACCGTCTACAGCAGGGAGGGAAACATCCTGAAAAAGAAACAAGTCAAGCTGAAAGTCAGAGGTCAGTGCTGTAGATCAAGCTCAGGGATCAAAGCATAGTTAGTTTTCATTTGTATGTAGTTGTGGTAGTGGGCCTTGCCACTGTCAATGCTTTTCAGTAAGGATGAGAGTCAAGTTTTGGTTTGCACACACTATAAATACTTCTAATTGTATATTTAACATGCCTGGCTGTGGAGTGCCGACTGTTCACAAGCTCATGCGGATCTCTGCTGTGCATCCTGTGTGAGTTTCCTGTATAAGAGGAAAAAGGTTAATGACCTATGGAAGACAGGTCCTTCAGTTTTACAGGCACTGTTTCCACACCACTCTACAGCTGTGCTGTTAATGCACGCCCCAACAGCCACATACCCCATGGTGGGCTAGAAATATGTTACAAGGATCCCAAACTCATTTGTCATTTTCTGGGCTTAAGAGAGAAACAGGCCCCACTTGTTTGTAAGGTTACAGTCTTGTAAAAAGAACCCTGTGTCACATTATATAAGAAGAAAGCTAATTTTCTGCTTTGTTGTGCTGTCAGGTATTAAGGTGAACAGGGTTTTAGACAGTGAGTCTGTCCAACTGCCCTTCACAACCACAGGAAATCTGCCTGAAGATGTAAAAGCAGAGTGGATAGACAGAGAGAACAGGAAGGTCCATGTGTATAAGAACGATTCTGACCGGCTTGAAGAACAGGACAAGGTTTACAGAGACCGAACAAAGGTGAATAAAGACCTGCTGAAAACTGGAGACCTCAGTCTGACCCTGAAATACCCCACAGACTGGGACACAAAGACATACACCTGCACCGTCTACAAGGAGGGAAACATCCTGATGAAGAAACAAGTGGAGCTGAAAGTCCAAGGTCAGCATGTGCTTGAAATCTGAACGCCATTTTTGACATTGATTTCTGCATCCATTTTCTTTTGCCTAATTAGTTCAGAGCAGAGGTAGGTGGGTGCTTGTAGCTTACCCCAGCTACCATGGGGCAGGAGGTGGATACACCCAGGATAGGTCGCCAATGTGTTACAGGTCACAATCTGTTGTTAACACAGAGAGACAGACAACCATTCACATTCACATTTATGGGCAATTTAGAAGTTAACCTAACAATAATGTCTTTGACCTGCGGGAGGAAGCCAGAGTACCTGGACAGAA